CCCACTAACACCTCTTCCAGCAGCAACCTCAGCTTTCCGAAAAGGTCCAGCTCCAGCGGGCTGCCAGTTGTGAGTCGCAGGGTGCTATGGCGGCTGCCCAGAATTTGTGTGATCTATCTCTGACATTCTGATAGTATAATAATACTATGTATTAAAATACACAGGGTAATTACTAATGGTCTAAATGGCCCTTTCGTGATGTACAAAAATGTTTTCATTCAATATGTTCTGTGTGGGGGGACAACACAGTGATGCAGTGCTGCCTCGCTGCACTGTGGCCCTGGGTTCAATTCTGGACCTGGGATGCTGTCTGTGTGGAGTTTGTACGTTCTCCCCATTATCGCATTGATTTCCTCCATGTGCTCTGGTTTCCTCGCACAGTCCAAAAACATACTGGTAGGATAACTGGCCTCTCGGGAAACTGGCCCTGGTGTGATTATGTTTGTGTCTGTCTGCTCTGCATCCTGGGTGTATCCCGCCTTCTGCCCATTGCTTGCTGGGATAGATAGCCTCCGGCTCCCCCTGATCGTGAATTGGATGAAGTGGTTAGAAAATGGATGGATGTTCTGTGTGCAGAAATATGTGAACGGATAAAATGCACAAAGCTGGAAGCTAAAAGAATGCAGGATTTTACTGTGCACTGTTAGTGCACTGTGCACTATGTTAGTGCACTATGCTAGTGCACTGTGCACTATGCTAGTGCACTGTGCACTATGCTAGTGCACTGTGCATTATGTTTTGAAAGACAAAGGAACATCTGCTTGATGTGCAAAAAGCAAACACCTATTGCTTCTGTGTTTGAAAAAACAAAAATAGAAACATTTTAAGACTTCTACCTTTTCAAGAAAATCTAGGATGTTGAGCTTTTTTTGTGCTGTTTGCAGTTGGAAAACACCTACTGCTCATGTTTTTAAAAAAATAAAATCAACATTTTTTTAGACTTCTACCTTTTCGAGAAAATCCAGGATGTTGGGCTTTGTGTGTTGTTCCCATGGGATAGTCAATATCCAGTTGGTTGGTTTCAGAACTCTGATGTGTTCTTGTAAGGACAGGTAAGGACAATGTTTAGCTTATCTAAAATGCCCAAAGTCTTTCAGTCTTTAATGTTTGCAGTCAATTGTCAATTTTATTGAGACAATACAAAGGACAAAACCAAGAATATCCAAGCATTTCTTTACACCATCTGCAAAGACACTAATTTTATTTATTATAATAGCATTACATTACAATACTTTTTTTAAAGTCACAGGGGTAGCCTGCCTGAAATTCGTGTGTATCTACAGTATTGAGACTCATTTACATCATATCTAGTTGCAACCATTTTATGTTTTGTGAAAAAGACCTTCCCTGGTATTCTTTCATCTCAAAACCATCACTTTACAGGCAGAATTAACAACAATATGAAACAACTAACAAGCGACAAATGTTCACTCAAAAACTATAATCCTTCCATATACGAGTTTCATTTGTTCCTCAAAAATTGTTCATAAGGTGAAAACATCCATAAATCAAATAAAATTCGCATTAATTCCTCCGGCATCTCTGACTGGTTCCAGGAGTCAAATATATTCCTTTAGACACCTAACCTTCACCTTAATACAGCACAGAATGGTACTTAAGTATGAAAACAATAACACTAATTATTCAAGTAGCGTGCTTAAAGTCATTAGGCAATGCATACAAAATAGCAACACTCCTGCTCAATTACAGTACAGTACTGTAGTTACTTTACATTGTTATAGTCATTAGCACATGCATACACCTTAGGTACCGTCCTATACTATATGCACTTAACACAGACTCAAGCCTTAATTATAATAAAAGTTCAAATGTAATACAAAATGGTAAATTCCTCAATTTTTAAAAAACAAAACACACCAAAACTGAACATCTGGGAAGATAAGAGAAATGTTCAATCTTTGCAATGCTTTATGAGAGCCCAGCACATAAGAGTAAAAATCTACTCATTAAATGCAATATAGGAATGACTACATCTCGTATAAATGAAAACACGTGGAGTGGTTTCTCGTACAGGGACGGATTACTGTACATGATTAAATGAAGCCCTCCTGAAGAGCCCTGTGTTGTCGTGCCAACTCCAGTCCTTTGAGAGTCACAGAACTTTGTTCAAAATTAATACTTAATCTCACTTTACCTGAAGAATGTCCCAGACTACAATTCTGGAGCTAAAGAATGTTGATTACTGCTTTAGTTGTTCCTTCTTTAACTCCCTGGATCTATCTGAAAAAGTGAGTTTTTCATGGCAAACCATCTCAGGAGAAGGCATCCTTTTTCTTCTGTTTGTATTTCAGTTACATTCTTCATTACTAAGGGATGGTGAGCTCTTCAATTGGAGTATGTACTTGACCTTTTTTATTTTCGGCACTTAAATAAACGTCTGATGTGGAACATTAAGCCTGTATCTAGTCTGTAGCCTGTAGTCTTTCCAAACAGCACTCACATATGTATGTTTTTAACTGAAAAGCTGAGAAGAATTTGTAATTTTTTTCATATTAGTATGCAAGTGGAGTCTAATTCCAGCTCTGCCTGCTTACCAATGTGAAAAACTATATTCGGCTGAGTATATTGGAACTGAAGGACTGAGTATTGGTATTTCAATATATTTTGTAAGAACGTTTCCCAAAAAGCAAGGAGTCTCTAAAAGCTGAAGTGCTGGTTGCAGTTGACAATTATTTTGTTCATTTTTTTTACAGCAGCAGCAATAAATCATCATCCAAGGACCAGTTGGAACGTTTTATTTGTATGTGTAGGCCTGAGTGTGAATTTTTGCCCTGGAACAACATAGTTAAAGAAGTTGTTCGTCACCATGGAAACCACGGAGAGAACTGCAGCCTAAAGACAACCATTGCAACTCAGGACTTTGATCAGATTATTCCTTTCCTCAACAAAGGGCTGCCTGTCAGGGGGCGACAACATCACAAGCGGACGTAAAGGCAGACAAAGCATATATGAGCAACATCTGTTACCAGGGCAGCTGGCATTATCTTTAACACAAATGACTCGTGATGGAAAAAGATAGCATTATGCATGAAATACTTCTGTGTCAGCTAACCACAATTTAAAAAGCTTCCATCCCAGCAAATAAATGATACTAATATGACACTGCAATTCAAGACTTCATCGTTATTGCCTTGATTCCTAAACAACAGAAGCTGTTACAGAGATAATGATAGAGAATTCCTCTCCTGAAGGTTTCGGTATTGTATGTTACACCTCAAGTGACTGACAATCTAGTAAGGTTTTAGGTATAAATACTCTGTGCATGACCATCTTGGTGACAGGATTTATAGTCTTTTTACCACGTTTATGAGATGCTGTTGAAAATACGGAATGATCACTATCTCACGCTCACAGGGGGGAACTCTCGGAGATTTTATCCAGAGACGGGGAAAGTGATCGGCGATTCCAGGAGACTCCGGGGCTCCGGCGTTGACCGGTTGGCGCCCCAGGCTACATGGCCACCGTGGTGCTGTTCTGGGGAGTGACCTTGGCCAAGCGGAGCTCCTTCCTGGAGCAGCTGCGAGTGCACAGCTGGCAGGAGGCACAGGCCGAGTTACAGCACGGGATGAACCGGCAGACGCTGACCCTCCACAGGAACCAGCCAGGGGACCAGCAGCACCAGAAGAGCAGCACCACCCCAGCTATCACCCCCAGCGCAATGTACAGGGCAATGAGAGACACGTACGTCTTCTTATCTGGGGAACAGAAGAGGCAGGCAGCCGGCAGTGAAGAGACCACATAATAAAACAAAGGGAACATGCAAGACAAGATGACAAGATGGGAAACCTAAGACATGAGGCACTGAGATGAACAGGAGATGCCAGCTATGGAGGCAAGGGGAGTTGTACAACATGTGATGTAGGCTAAGGCCTAGGGAATCTCACCTACCTGTGATGGAGTCAGGCTGGGGAACAGCATCTGGAGACAGAGGCGGAGTCTGCAAGCTGCCAGCACAGCTCTGATTGGTAGGTGAGGTGTCAGTGGGCGGGGTTAAGATGGACGGAGATGAGGTCATTCCTGGGGACTTCGTTGGAACTGTGGAACTTGGCCCTTTATGAGGAAACACAAGAAAGGCGTTCTTTTCCCTCTTCACAAACTGGCACACAGATACACCATAATCACAGGGACAATAATTTGATTTGGCCAAATTTCAGGTTTAGTCCACTCGCATATTAGAAATGACTCACTGATATCTGCAGATACTTAGGCCATTCCTTGATTGAAAAGCACTACTAGGTGTGAATCCTGTGCAGTGTTTTTCGTTTGCTTCATTGCTGATGATGAGCCTTAGTTAAGAAATCCTTAACCTAAACAAATCAGAGGTTTCACTGCTCACCCTGACCTAGTCAGGATCTGTCAGTAATAGTTGTGTCAGTGTTTTTGATTGTTTCAAGCTCATTTTTTAAAAATGTCAATGAAGACTGGTGGTGTTTTTTTTCTGAAGAGCATAAATATTAACTGTCATAAAAAATTAAACGCAAATCCCTCAGAATGTTTAACACATGACAGTAAGTCTCAAACAATTACACACAACTTTCAGGATTTAGCATGAATTTTGTTGAAAAAAATGTTCTTAGTGCAAAGCAATCTTGATATTTGCAGTTGAACACAGTGTTGAAAAAGCAAACATTTGGATTGTAGCACAATTGTTAGTTAATAAGATAGTGGTAACGAGTCTATAAACTGTAAATGACCAGCCACAAACATACCAATGCCTTTTCATACAATCTTAAATTGTCATTCTTGTGCTTCTCATTGTGACAAATTGACCTTCACTGTAGAGTTGTCAGCCAATCGATGTTTTTTTTTTTAATTCAGGAGGTATGTAGGACCAGCTCAGTGTAAATGAGACTTCACAAAAATAACAATTTATGAACAAGCTAATTCATTCCCATTTGAACAGAGTTCTACTGACCTCGGCATTCTGCGGGCGGTAGAGGTGACTGGTCACTGCCATCTCCACAGTTGTCCAGCCCCCGGTCATCACAGACCAGGTTCATGGGAATGCATTTCCCATTGTGGCAGGAGAAATAGGGCTCACCGCTGCACTCAGAATGGTTGAACCCTAAAACCTCAAAGACAACAACAAAGTAAGGATCAAAAAGCACCAACAGGCTACATCCACACTTTAGAAACCAACCACACGTTCTTGTAGTGTTAATTACTTATATATTTAGCAATTGTCTGAAGAAACAAGAACTGATACAAGGATGAGTGAAGGAGGGTGACAGCACTCCAGTTCAGGACTCTTTTGAAAGCCTATGACTTTAGAACATTATACTGATTAAATAATTCACATTTTTTATCGGCCTGAGGTGTGACAACAGAAATACAGCTACCCACTTAAAAATAAGGATCTTGCTCAAATTAAGCACAGTTCCTGGTCAAGTAAAATGAGAAGCCCACTGAAATCCAGACCCATGTTCTCAACATTCGCCATGTGATCAGTTGATCAGTTGAGTTAGGAATTTCTTGATGATGATCAATGATTTAAGATTCAGGCAAATCTTTGCATTAAGATTAATGAGGGTGCAGGAAATGGTGCCATTTTCCATGGAAATGTTTTGAAATCATCTACAGCTGTTATTGTATTTCAAGTTCTTCATGAGTGGCTGAAAAGCTATAATCTCCTATGAATCTTTGATGAGGATCCAGCCCACCCTGGAACTGCCTTTATGATTACGGGTAACCAGATATATATTTACTATCATAACTTGAGACCAAACAAGGGTCTATGCAGTGGGGGGAACAGGGGTCCTCCCTCTCCAGGGTGTTCCACACACATCTATCAATGGGCAAGATCACAGCACTCAATTTCGGGGGTTCAAAGGGGGTAAATTCATGGTACAGGTCCTGCAGCAGATGACCCCTTCACTGGGACATGACTGGAGGACAACCTAACATGAACAGATGTTGCTACATTTACCGAAATAAAGGCAGGTTAAACAGCAAAGTGTTATAGGCACCTTGTGCTTAAAACAAAACCATCTTATGACTCCTGTTCTATAAACCTATTAATCAGCCCTTGTATAAAGTTGGAATGGTCGGTGTGTATAGGGTGTAAATAAAGGGCCATCATGTGGAACTGTTTTCACAGATCTACACATGCAGAGCATGGTTTAGAAACAGCAAATCAATCACATCATCAATGAAAACAGCACTGCTCAATCCAGGAAGCCGGACATTATGCAGACATCCCAAATCCCCTGGAAGTCAGCGTCTCCTCCCTGCCTGTGAGATTACTCAACGGGACCGGTGAGTTATACTATCTATAGTGTACTGTATATAATAATAATTATAATAATTGCTTTCACTTATATAACGCTTTTCTGGACACTCCATTTAAAGTGCTTTACAGGTAATAGGATCCCCTCCACCACCACCAGTGTGCAGCCCCACCTGGATGATGCGCCGGCAGCCATAGTGCGCCAGAACGCTCCCCAAACATCAGCTCTCAGCGGGGAGGAGAGCAGAGTAACGAAGCCAATTCATAGAGGGGGATTATTAGGAGGCCATGATTGGTAAGGGCCAATGGGAAATATGGCCAGGACGGTGGGGTTACACCCCTACTCTTTTCGAGAAACACCCTGGGATTTTTAATGACCACAGAGAGTCAGGACCTCGGTTTTACATCTCATCCGAAGGACGGCGCCTGTTTACAGTCTAGTGTCCCCATCACTACACTGGGGCATTAGGACCCACATGGACCGCAGGGTGAGCGCCCCCCGCTGGCCCCACTAACACCTCTTCCAGCAGCAACCTTAGTTTTTCCCAGGTGGTCTCCCATCCAGGTACTGACCAGGCTCACATCTGCTTCAGTGGGTTGCCAGTTGTGAGTTGCAGGGTGATATGGCTGCTGGCGATAATATATATATATATTCTAGGATCTATAGTGTATTGCATATATATTACAGTATCTATAAAAAATATCCCTGAAATCCATTTTTCAAAGTGTCTAAAAAAATTAAAAGTCCGAACTCTCACCGAGCCTGAAGGACGTAAAATCCCCGACGAAGTCCACTCTTGGCTGTGTCCCCCTGGTCACCAGCCGCAGCGTCAGGTAGTTCCCTGTGGACAGAACGGGTCTGGGCAGGCTCTTCCCACACAGCGGCGGGCCCATGACCGGGGCGGCCTTGTCCCTGCCGTCATAGAACTGGATGTAGGAGCCGGCGTGACAGGGGTCCGGGGCTCCGTCTCTGGGCGTGGCCTCACTGCGAGGACCAGGCCCCGTGGGCCCGGCGGAGAGGAGCTGCCGCGCGCCCTCGGGGGGGGGGCTGGGGTGGGGCTGGCTCAGGGAGTTGACCCTCAGGAGGCTGTACACCAGGAAGAAGCGGAACTGGAACTGCACCTTGTCTTTGGGTGAGGCGGCCTGCATGGTCAGGTGACAGTCTGTTCCCATGGTGACGAAGTAGTACTTCCGGGACTCCCTGTGCGAGTTGACTATCATTCCGTCTCCATGGATGGTCTGCCCACAGAAGTCCACTAGATTCACTGGGAGGAACACGGAGAGACTGTTAACCACTGGGACTGTCCGAAATTATTCTTGCTTTGTT